GTGTGCGTGTGTGTGTGTGTGTGTGTGTGTGTGTGTGTGTGTGTGTGTGTCTGTCAAACACACAGAGAGGCTTAGCTGCTTGCCAGCCTTCCACAGTGCAATAATAAAGTCAGTAATCTCCTCATTTAGGATTCAGCATCTCACAGTATCTTAATGAAGCCTGTAATGAAACTCTCAGAAACTCTCAGAACCCCCAAATCATCCAATAGTTAAACCATCCAAAATACCCAGACCAACCACAGCATACACACACTCGTATGTACCCCCTGATATAACTGAATAATAGTATGTTAATTTCAGCTTGTGTTTAGTCTGGTTTTAAGGCTGTTTTTTTTTCTTTTCTTTTTTTTATGTCTGGCTTTTAAAGCTGATGTGTTGAATGAGAATTAATTGGGATTTACTGAAATATTGCTTACTCTAAAGTGTGCATCCAGTGGATTCCCACAATTCCCATAATTCTGTATAAAAAGGTAAAACAAAATGGCAAAGAACTGTGAACCGGGCAGCTCTAGATACCAAAAAAACACTGTTCCTCATGGTTAACGACAATTACTACTACTAGGAAAGTATAAATCAGTATGTGTCCCAATAACAAACACAGAAGGCCGCTGCCAAAGACAAAGTGCGTTTTCTTAGACGGGCATCATTACAAATGCATGTTAAGATTAAAATGTTTGATTAAAATCTTTCACAAAAAGAACTTTTTTCTGCTTCATTATTCTCCTATATGAATGGAATTCATTATGCAAACACAGAGAGAGAGAAACAGAGAGAGGCAAGCATGATGAGGAAGTTTGTAATCAATCTTAATGGCTCTTTACTGCTCCAAGGTTCATTATGAATATCAGGCAAACACAATGAGCTATCTTTCACCCTCATATCGATTGCTATGCAAATTTACATACATTTCAAGCAGCCTTGCCTCTGCAGAGAGCAGAACCGGATTGTATAATAAAACAGTTTGTTAACAACAAAACATAACGACACTTGTGAGAACACTTTCTGCTCATTATTACTCCGTACTTGTGGTTTTGGAACAGCAAGCGAGCGCGTTCAGACACGTGTACACGTGCGCCTTTCTGTTTAGCATCGCCTCAGTGTGGAGAGGTGCCATCACGCCGTTGAGTGCGTGTCAGTCGGTGAGTGTCCCTGTCATGTATGGCTGTGAGTACACACACCGTGTGTGCAGTGTGCTGTGAAAATTCGAGAAGGCAGCAGTGCAAAACAGAGGAAAAACAAATTCGTACCTACGGGCCTTTTCGGCTCTCTCTCAATACCCCCAGCGCCCTGATCCGTCTCACTTTAACTCAGGCATAGAGATGTGCCAGAGTGGACGACATATTTTTACTCTAATACAATCTGGAGTTATTTTCGTTTTGACAGATAGTGGCATTTGCTGCCAGACAGAGGCTTGATTGCAGAGCTCACTACCCGTGTGATAGTGTGCCTATGATTAACGCCTATATGAAACGCAATCATTCGTCAATAATTACTTCACTCTTTCATCGTTCACGGCTCATGAGGGCAGCAGATGTGCTCAAGCGAGGCAGTATACGTCTTTGTTTTTGTTTTGTTTTGTTTTTTCAAAAACACCAATAACTTGCTGGAAACTTGTTGCATTATGTCTGGTTTCGACACAGTGTAGTATCCATTGCATTTCTGTATGAAAATGTAGAGTTAATAAAGTTTTTGTAAGGGTTTAGTACTGTAAGTGAGCACGTTCTTAAAGAGAAGACAAAAAAACAAACATCATTTGTCATCATTTACTCGTTTCAAACCTGTATGGCTTTTATACTTCAGTAAAACAAAACAATATATTTTGAAAAATTAGGATAATTTTTTTTTCTTTGGGCCCAAGTGACTTTAACTGACTTTAAAAGAGTTGAAACATTCTTCAAAATATAGTCTTTTGTGTTCCACAGTTCAAAAGAGTCATACGTCTAATACAATAAATTGATTCAAAACTGTTTAAGAATATAAAAAGCCTCGTCATGTCACTGACCAATCGCTTCTTGTTGTTTATCAGGTCTAAGTATCCGCGGGGCTCAGGAGGAGGACTCGCCCGATCCACAGCTGATGCGTCTTGACAACATGCTTCTGGCAGAGGGCGTGTCAGGACCGGAGAAGGGCGGAGGATCGGCGGCGGCGGCAGCGGCAGCAGCAGCAACTGGCAGTCCCACTGACAACTCCATCGAGCACTCTGACTACAGGGCCAAACTCTCCCAGATCAGACAGATCTACCATACCGAGCTGGAGAAATATGAGCAGGTGAATGTCAGTATTCAATACAGTACAGGAAGGCTTTACCAGCTTATATATATATATATGTGTGTGTGTGTGTGTGTGTGTTAAATATAAACATATGTATATATTATGCAAATAATACATTTCTTTCTACAGTTTGAAAATCCTTTCTAAAGGTTTTATTTTTATTTTTTTTTTACGTTTTTCAGAAACATCCCATTTTGATGTCAGCATTAAATTAAATTTACAAAAGTGATTGTTTATACATAAAAAGCATACCAAATGCAAGCAAAGTGTCTACTTTAATGTTTCAGTTGTGGAAATAAAATGACAAAATATGGGTGAAATAATGTTCCATCGTCATTCAGTGTAACAGATATATTTATGTAAAAATAGTTTGAAGAATAGTGGCAAAAAATCATAAAGATTTAAAATTATAATTAATCAGTTTTGGGGGGTTGCACTGTGATCCTCAAATAGAGTCTTTTAATATGTCATCTAATGATTCTTGTTCTAAATATTCCTGACACGATTTTTTGGTATACAAACTATTGTTACACTGAATAACATTTTATTGTGTGCCATTTTATTGTGTTTATCATTGGAAACATGTATGATAGTCATTTTTTGCTCAGAAAAAGTAAAATTAATCAAGACACATTCTAACGTACAGAAAAAAAAAATGCCGTATTAAACTTCTGTTGTTTTTCAAAATCTGATGACCATCCTATAACCGATGGCGTCACTGCAGTTTTTGTATGGTAAATTGTGACCTTTTCTTTCTTGCATCTATTGAACCATATTTTTGCCTTTACATTTGTATTTGTGTTGATTCTGACAAGAACACTCAAGTTGATTTTAATGACAAAAGCAAATTATGTAGCATTTCATTTATGCAGAACCAAATCCTTTTCCAACCTTGTAATCACTGAAATTGCATATCTAGTTATGTTATGAAGCCCAACCAGATTGTACTCTACAGAGCCAAGAATACTGCAAAAGAACTTTGTATCTGCATTCACATATTTGCATTGATCCTATGAGTGTGAATAATCCCAGCTTGCTGTTCTGAATAGATGTTTTTCACTGAAGCTTCATGACAGGTTTAAAGGGAGACCTGGAGGCCTTCATCTGAACTGAAGGTGTCAGAGGTCTAAACCTGAGCAAGCATTTTGAGTTTTACAGTCATGTCTATCATGATTACGACTGAGAGCAGATGTGATTTATTGTGGTATTCAGGCATTAGGACATCTTAAACTTACCTGACCCCTGAACAGCGGTAGTCTAGACGTCCTCTTATAAATATTGAGCAGATGCTTTTAGTGACAGTGTGGAGAGCAGCCTCTGATTGCATAGTGCATTTGAGAGTGTCGCTATGCAGGACTTGCTGCTTCATTGAGGTCATGTATTGATTCTTTAATGGAGCTGACATTCAGTTTTGATTCAGCGCTTTAGTTATTTTCCTCATAATCAAGGACGAGTTGAACCAGGGCC